TACATCAATGATTTTCTTCCTACTATGAATTTTCAGGTGTATCCTCAAATCCTTCGATTCAGTAAATCCCTTATTGCATACTTCACATTTATAAGGACGATATTCATAATGAATCATCGTGTGTCTTTTCAGATTGCATAATAGAGTGAATGTCTTATTGCATATACTGCATTCATGGGGCCGTTTTCCATTGTGCTTCAGCATGTGACGTTTCAGATCACTTGATTTCGTGAATGACTTATTGCATATACTGCATTCATGGGGACGAAGTCCATTATGCACCAGCATGTGTTTTTTCAGGTTACCCAATAGTGTGAATGTCTTATTACATGTGTTGCATTCGTGGGAGCGTACTCCATTGTGTGTCAGCATGTGGATTTTCAGATTGCTTAATTGTGTGAATGTCTTATTGCATATATTGCATTTGTGGGGACGCTTACCACTTTGAATGAGCATATGACTTTTTAGGTTGCTTAATTTTGTGAATGTCTTATTGCATATATTGCAGTCGTGGGGGCGTACTCCATTGTGTATCAGCATGTGACTTTTCAGATGACTTGATAGTTTGAAAGTCTTGTGACAGATTTCGCATTTGAAAGGGCGTTCTTTGCTATGACTAGTCTTGTGAACGACCATATGCTCTTTCAATTGATGTGATTCTGGAAATGATTGAATACAAATGCCACATTTATAAGAGGATGTCTCGATTAAGTCCTGTTCGACTTCTTCTTCTAAGGAAACTTCGGACATCTTGGATCTTCCTGAACATGTTTCATCGTCCTGAGAACACGATTCAGATTCCACAATAGCATCAGGATCATCTAAATCATCTTCTTTTCGGGTTTAATTTCTTCTACTGAATATTCAGGTGGTTCAATTTTAATTGCCTGATGATTCATAGACATAATTGTTTCTTCTGTCATTTTTGAATAATTTCACTGCTTATACTAAATATCATAATCAATTTTAATCAGCAATTGTTTTCTAATTATTAATTCTAACATGATAGTGCTATTAAACTCAAAACTAAGCATGCTATTAAAATGATATATGAACCCATACTAAAACTACCATGCAAGTAATCATTCGAATCATAAAATTCAAAGCTTTAATCATTTTGTTAAGTAATTTGAGATATCTTGGGTAATGAAGGTTCTCCAATAAATACATTCGTGCCAGGATAACTTATAACAGTTATAAATAATAGCTAATTTTGCACAAACTGCAAGTCACATTTGGATTCGCCGAATGTCAAATATTTCTTGCACAACTAACTTAAATTATTTCTAAAGTACTCACTTCACGAGAGGGTCCTCCTAATTGCCATGTTTTCCGAACCAAATCCGAGAATAAAATGAATCTTCTTATATTGAATGAATTAAAGAATGAATTCTTATATTGTCTAAGAAAATGAATTGTTTATTAATTTCAGGTTAACACTTTTTGACAGCAAGTCATAGATCTATATAAAGATGTGACACTGCAGAGTTTTCTACCGATCGTAGATGGCGCAAACTACAGCGCCAATTTTGAATTTAAATTCTAACAAAAAAACTTTTATTATTATAACCATCATAATATAAATTTAATTACTATACTAATCATACAACTAATATATTATAAATAAATATGATAAATTGTCAAGGTGCTCAAAGTACTTGCTTTAACATTATTTTAAATAAATTATTTCATGTTAAATCTCATTTGTAACACATTGCAAATATAAGAAGTATTATTGTGTTACTTATTTAATATTGTACAACTTTAGCAAATATTTTATTTATATTAAACTAAGTTTCGAAAGATATAATACTTCATTTAAAGAAATATAATAAAAATAAAGTCATCATGCTTTGTTTTATATGACAAATTTGTAGTTTACAATTGTAATATTGAATTATATAAGGTTGCTGCAGATTAGTATAATGATAGAAAATATTATAAATTTATTTCTAACTTTATTAATCAAATACTTTATTAATAAAAAGAAAAAAAAGCTGGATTAATATGAATATATTTTATTAATATAATATGTAAAAATATTTAAAAAAAAAATTATATTTGTAAAGTTGTGAAAATGTTGTAAAAAATATATAAATATATTTATATATATGGCCTAACTGCCTTAGTTTGTATGAGAATTGGATATATAAATGTATATATTGATTTATACATGATTATATATATGGCCTAACTGCCTTAGTTTGTATGAGAATTGGATATATAAATGTATATATTGATTTATACATGATTATATATGGCCTAACTGCCTTAGTTTGTATGAGAATTGGATATATAAATGTATATATTGATTTATACATGATTATATATATGGCCTAACTGCCTTAGTTTGTATGAGAATTGGATATATAAATGTATATATTGATTTATACATGATTATATATATGGCCTAACTGCCTTAGTTTGTATGAGAATTGGATATATAAATGTATATATTAATTTATACATAATTATATATGACCTAACAGCCTTACTTTCAATGGGAATTGGATATATGAATTAATATATTGATTTATACATGATTATATATGGCCTAACTGCCTCTCTTTCAAAGGGAATTGGATATATAAATGTAAATAATAATTTATACATGATTATATATGGCCTAACTGCCTTAGTTTGTATGAGAATTGGATATATAAATGTATATATTGATTTATACATGATTATATGAGGCCTAGCTGCCAAAGTTTGTATGAGAATTGGATATATAAATGTATATATTGATTTATACATAATTATATTATATATGGCCTAACTGCATTAGTTTGTATGAGAATTGGATATATAAATGTATATATTGATTTATACATGATTATATGTGGCCTAATAAATAAATGTATATATTGATTTATACATAATTATATATGACCTAACAGCCTTACTTTCAATGGGAATTGGATATATGCATGTATATATTGATTTATACATGTTTATATATGGCCTAACTGCCTCACTTTCAATGGGAATTGGATATATAAATGTAAATAATAATTTATACATGATTAAATATGGCCTAACTGCCTTAGTTTGTATGAGAATTGGATATATAAATGTATATATTGATTTATACATGATTATATATGGCCTAACTGCCTTAGTTTGTATGAGAATTGGATATATAAATGTATATATTGATTTATACATGATTATATATGGCCTAACTGCCTTAGTTTGTATGAGAATTGGATATATAAATGTATATATTGATTTATACATGATTATATATGGCCTAACTGCCTTAGTTTGTATGAGAATTGGATATATAAATGTATATATTGATTTATACATGATTATATATGGCCTAACTGCCTTAGTTTGTATGAGAATTGGATATATAAATGTATATATTGATTTATACATGATTAAATATGGCCTAACTGCCTTAGTTTGTATGAGAATTGGATATATAAATGTATATATTGATTTATACATGATTATATATGGCCTAACTGCCTTAGTTTGTATGAGAATTGGATATATAAATGTATATATTGATTTATACATGATTATATATGGCCTAACTGCCTTAGTTTGTATGAGAATTGGATATATAAATGTATATATTGATTTATACATGATTATATATGGCCTAACTGCCTTAGTTTGTATGAGAATTGGATATATAAATGTATATAGTGATTTATACATGATTATATATGGCCTAGCTGCCTTAGTTTGTATGAGAATTGGATATATAAATGTATATATTGATTTATACATGATTATATACGGCCTAACTGCGTTAGTTTGTATGAGAATTGGATATATAAATGTATATATTAATTTATACATGATTATATAGGGCCTAGCTGCCTTAGTTTGTATGAGAATTGGATATGTAAATGTATATATTGATTTATACATGATTATATATGCACTAGCTGTCTCGGTTTGTATGGGAATTGAATATATAAATGTATATATTATTATAAATTTATTCCTAACATTTCTCAAATATTTTATTAACATTAATTGTAAAAAGTTCTCATTCAGGAAGTTAACTAAATAAAAAAAACTTGATAATATGAATATATTTTATTAAAATATGATGTTCAAAATATTCAAACATTATTTAACTTTGTAAAATTGTGAAAAATATAAAGTATAGACAAAACACCATTCGAATATGTTATGAAGTACAAATGTTTATATAAATTGTTTAAAAATAATAGTTAAACCTGCGGCAGCAAACCTGAAGCAATCATTGATAACATTGTTTGTTTACATTTATAAAACATAGAAAAATAATTCATATTGTAAACCTCTTCAAAAATTAATCAATAAATCTAAATAAATCAGTAAAAGACATTTTCAACTCATGAATAAAACGTCTCAAAAACATACATTTTTTCTTCAATACTCAGATATGAAAATAAAAACGTCAAAACTTTGTTGAAAATAATCCGTGGATAGATCTTTGAATATTTGATATTAAAATAAAAACAGCAAGACTTTGCCTCATATCAACAGATATTCACTCTTTTCGAACGAGTCAAAAACACACTTTTTCTTTCAATATTTCAAGTCAAAAACTCTTGTTTTGCTTGAATTGTAAGTTATATTTTACTTTTGTTTTGCATTTTGTGAAATAATAAAATAAATGTCTTCAAATATATATCTTGGCTCTATAAATTAGAGATTAGAAAAATTAGATTGTTAGTTTCCTATAATAAAATTTTTTGACTTTTAGTCAAAAAATATTTTTAAATGTTTTTAACAGGAATAAACAGCACAAACTGTTTACTTTTTTTTTCAAAAAGTCAGTTTAGAAATGTTCATAAACTTTGTTATATCAAATGTTTATTTATTATTGTTAATATAAAGAATCCATAGATTTTAAATATTTTATTTCAAGAAATTTTAATATAACATGCCATCAGCAGCAAACATTTTGCTATAAAAATAACAATATCGTGGCAGATAAGATTACAATAACTTGAAATATTAACAAAAGTGGCAATTCTTTATTTGAATTTTATTTGAACACCTTTCCTTGGTTGAACTTGCGTCCGTTCTTATCGGCACCTTCCCAGGAGAAGTATTGCTTGACTAATTTCTTGGTCTCTTCTGATTTGGGGTCCAACTTGACCCAGTTGTAGGTTTCATAGTCAATTTGCCAGTCGGGGGAAAGCTGAAATAAATGAATTTTTTAGTAAATATTTTGGATTTAGATTGTAATGTATTTTTTTTAATATAAAGTATGTTTGATAGTAACAGTATTTCAACAATATGTGTCGTTGAAAAATTAAATGTTACCATCGCTTACTATATCTCTTTGAGTTACAGTAAAGATGAATGTAGTCATCAAGACTGCCTTTGAAAGAGAAATATTGAAGTTTATGCTATCAAATATCAAGCCTGGTTCTTAATACACTAGTCTTGTGATTATTATTTTAGCGAACTAATTTAATGTAATTTAAAGTTAATATTAAACTTTCTTCCAAATCCAGAACTCAAATTGAAATGAAGCTAAATAAAAATAGTGTGATCAAATATATAATATAAATAAATAGATCAAATAGAATAAAAATCAAATAAAATTAATAATGAATGAATATGAAATAAAATGAAGTAAAATTAAAAAGAAATAGAATAAATAAATAATAAATAAAATCAAATAAAAGTAAGACAAAAATAAAAAAACGTGAATAAATAAACGTTAAACGAATATTAAGTAAAATAAAAAACAAGGCAAGAAGAATAAAAATAAAGTTAATTTAATTAGGTTTTAATTTTTGAAGTACTTAAGTTATAATTAAATAAAATTTGAACAAAATAAATATAAATTAAAATAAAGTTAATTATATGGTCAAGTAAGATATATAAATGAAAATCAATTAGAATTAATTAAATTCAAAGAAAGATAAATAAATAGCAGTTAAAACAAAATAATTGAATAAAATCAATTAATGAGAAAGTAAAATAAATAAGTCAAAATAAATAAATAACTAAATAAAATTAAGTAAAATAAAATAAAATCAAGTAAAATGAATAAAAATAAAGTTAATATAATTAAGTTAAAAATTGTAAGTTTAAATTAAATTAAGCAAAATAATATAGATTATAAATTAAAATGAAAGGGAATTATATAGTCAAGTAGAAAAATCTATTAAAATTAATTTAAATTCAAGTGAAATAAATAAAATGAACAAAATTAAATAATGGGAATAAAGTAAAATAAAAGTCAAATAGAATGAAGAAAGAAAGGTTATGTCAAGTAAAGTGAATAAAAAGAAAGTCAAATAAATCAATAAATTAAAATTAAATTGTGAATTGTATATTAAAGTAGAATATGTGAAAAGAATTAGTTAAATTGAAGTAAAATAAATAAAAAAAAAGATCAAGTAAAATTAATAAAATAAACTAAAACAA